TTAGTTATTCAAAAGTATATATAAAACCTAAAAAAAAAAATATTTGTTTCATTTCCTCCACGTGCAAAATTTTTAAAGGCTTAGCAACCTGCATCAATCGGCAACCGAGTACAAAGGTCATAACTAGAAGAGAATTGTTTGCTTTACTTCTTTATTTACTGGCAATAATCTCTCTCTCTCTCTCTCTCTATATATATATATAATGTTTAGTAGTTGAAATGTGACTTTATTTTACAAAATACTAGTCGACTAAAACACAGCTAAGACAAGTTACTTTGTATAGATCAAAGGTCACCTTTATGTTATTTGATAAAGTAACATGAGTGCACGTGAGCTGCGCATTGTAACTTCTGTATTGTTAGCCAGGTATGGGTTAAAAGTCAATATAATAAAAATAATAAATATATATAAATGTATAATGTTATGAGATTTAAGCTATTTCGTCTAAACATTTGTTTTCGTGTTATAATTTGTGTTCATTCTAGAATGAAAGAGACATAATTTATGTTTATTTCCTAATTTTTTTTGGTTGTTGCGAGATCGGTCAAACTTGCCAAACCCGTACAGAGATTAATTACTGAAAATAACAGAAAAATATAAAGTTTTTTCTTAAGAAACGTTTAGTAACTATCCAGACATTATAAAGGTTTTGCATGTGAAATTTCAAAATTTTCTGATGCATCAAAGTATTTTTAATCTTAAAATGAAAATTACTTTGCATGATAGATAGGCAAGATGTGAAAAGAAAAAAAAGGCATGAGAGAAACATTGTTTTACAGACCTTAAGACTTAATAGAAAATTTTTTTATTTTGCGTATGAAAGCATTGTAATGTTTACTGATAAACTGCCAAATTTTGTTAACATTCACTTACTAATTTAAAAGTTATAGCAGGAAAACTATAACAAGCACAAAATGGTACGAGGTTGGTCCCAGGGACTGTACTCGTGTTGAAAGAGTTAAAGGAATGAAATCAAATTTGGTGGCCAATCTGGTAGTTACACTTATAGCATTGATGAGAATTTGACAGCAAATATTCATTCATTAGTTAGTCAGGCCACATTTTTTGTTCAACTTGAGGCATGATGGTGAATAAAAAAAATATGCAGCCAAGCTAACTAATGAACAATATTTGCTGTAAAATTCTTATCAATGCTATAAGTGTAGCTGCAGGTTTGGTTGGCAATATTGATTTAATTCCTTTAAGTCACATGCTCAATCCATTTTTGGCTACATTTGTTTTGTACGTAAGGTATTTTTTGATTAGATATCATAACTTTTTGTCAATACACACCAACAAACCACAGCAAGTAAAAAAGTGACACTCGATAGTAACCAACATTAGCTTTAGGATTGCAACTCTATTATTTGGAACAGACCTATACTTTACAGAACCAACCAGATTCTTTAAAATATATCATGGTAGTTTTTCCTTTATAATAATGCCATGGAAACTTGATTAACAGTTTCTTGTCATCACTTGCATGCACTCTGTACAGCCATATTAAGCATCATTATTTATACTAATTGCTTAAGCTAATATCACGTGACACTAAAAGCTCTTTAATTAAGAGAATTTCATAAAATTTATCAAATTTGACAATGAATAATAACTGTCCACCTGTATGATTCTTTTGAAAACTTGAGTTAGAAATTGTTAATCTTGTCCTGACCAATACTTATGTATTTGCACATGCTTTCATCCAATAGTTTTGTTGCTCTAAATCAGCCGTCTTTCATCCGACTGACAAAGAACTAAAAGTGGTCCACCTTTGCTCTTAGGTGAAACTGTAGTAAAAATTTTAGACCAATAGCTCATGCGACATTTTGCATAGGTATGCGCAAAAATTTTGTTCAAAATTAAGTAAATTTTCTTGAATAACTTTGCACATGTGACTTATATTTAGACAAAATTTGACATCTAATTGTAGGTTACAAAGATCTATCAGTGTACCAAAATTGAAAAAATCCATGAAAGTTAAGTATGTTTTTCTGTCAAATAAAGTTTCTGTACTTTCAGTAAAAAGAAAAAAAGGAAGAAATTCAATCAAAATTGGAGATTTTGTATCTCATGTATTTCTTAATGGATTACCATGAAAGTTGACATGTAAAGCAAGGGTCCAGTAGAGCACATCCACTGAAAATATGTAATAGTTTGGATTACTACAGTCTGAACTACAGATAGTGGAACATTTCTAAACTGTCACTCCTGTTAATAACACAGTGTGTCTTGCCAGTTGTTTTGTCCACACAACACACTACTGTGTGTCTTGATTATTCAGTGCTTTTATCTTATTCCTGAACAAATACTTTTGATGATGTGTATGATTAAAATTAACTGCTGTACAAAAAATATCTATTAGTGTCAAAGGCATATTTACATTTTGTCTTCAAGAAGTGTAAGAGATGATGTTCAGCTATTGTTTTTGTGCAAAATTTGTATTTTTATTTTTACTTCCATTCTTCTCTTATATTTTGCAAGATCTTATGAAAATTGTTGTTCTTTTTCCCAAATCTTTTACATATCCAAAGGCCCAGCATTAGTAATCATCAGATTTTTTTTAAGCATTGATTTCAGTTTAATCTTCCATCCTTTGTAAAGATGGCCAAAACAATGATATCAGAGGATGTTAGTGAAATAAGGAATGTGGCAATTTTCTCTATCAAAAGCTTGAGTCATTACTTCATAAATTTTGGTTTTTGACTGGAGTTGTTATCATGATACTCTTCCACTTACATGCAATGTCTGATTTTCACACTGTGTACAAAGAGGATTCACCATTCGAAAAATTTCATTTAGCAAATTTTCTTGGTAATACAGGTAGATGACCCTCACATAAGATAGCAGCTCTTCTTATCTGTAATTTTCCATTCAAAACTTATTTTTTAAGACTGTTTGTTTAGCCTCTAAATAAAAGTGTTTGCATTTAGAAATCTACTTGTTATATTTTTGTCACAAAGATAGAGAAATATCATTTTTTTTTTGCTTATTCAAATAAATCCAAGGTAATTCTTAAAACTCTATAGTTATTCCTCCTTCAGTAAGTATGATAAGAAAGAAGATGGTGCATACTGATCTTCTACCTTTTTTTTGTTTGTTTCTAGATGAAAGGGATATCTTATTCTAAAAGATCCTTTAGCATTAGAGTCTCTCTTTCCGTTACAGTATTTTATCAACTTTTTATAATCATAGCTGGATTTGTCTTAGCACAAAAGATTTTTCCTGTAATGTCTCTTCTTGGTTATATATACACTTTGATAGACTTAGGTTTTTAAACCTTGATTTTTATTTTTGATTTATTTGTCATACAGATATGTGTAATTATATTGTTTGGTTCTTTTATTTTGTATTAAGATTAATATGACAGATATAGTCTCAGGCTAAATTGTTTGGGGTCTCTGAAGTTACATTAAGTTCACCAACATACAACTAGATTGCAACTGTTACTTCTTAATAAGAAATAGATGACTAAAACATTATCATCACATCACACCTTCTCACAATAAAAATAATTAATATTGACATGCAGTGTATTTTATGAAAGTGCCACCTTTCTCTAAACAACATTGTGTTTCATAAATTACTGTAAAGATAGACCAACTACTTGTTCAATCTCTGGCTTTAGGCATTCTTTATTAGCTACTTCCCATTGCCAGTTTCCAACCACTGAATTATGCTAGTGTGAGTTTTCTATGCTGTTTGGTTAGCTAAAGAAATACTTGGTGTCATTTGGTTCATCATGAATTAACCAGTTATTAAACTAACTTGTATAAAAGTGTAAGTAAAAGTTAGCAATTTTACCTTTACTGCTGGACTTGTTTTCACAACAATGTTTTATGATGTTTAGTAATAAATGTGTAGGAGTACTCTATCAGAAAGAAAATGTAAGGAATGAGTTATTTATTATTAGGAATTAAAAATAATACGAACACAGCACATGTCTAAATGTGATTATTATAAAACTCAGTGTTGAACAGTGTTGGAAAGTGCATAAAACGTTAAGCACTGTTGAAGGTACCAGACTTTACTAAAAACATCTATGTTTTTCAGTGGGCCACTATGTAACCCCTATTCTCAAAATATTTCAACTTACACCAGATTTATACAGATTTAAATATTTGTTCATATAAAGAAAATTTAGTATCCAATTTGAATTTTTTATAAAATTTTAGAAAACTTAATAATAACATTATTGATAGAATCTATAATAAATTTTGTAACAGAGTAAAACTTTCACAGTGTATTCAACTTAAGGTCAATAGTAAGAATATATGAACATTTGGCAGGCAAGCATTCTTACTATATATTAACTGTTGTGTAACATTTTCACCTTGGTTTAATCATTTTATGGCTAGTTGTAAAGATAAAATCACATTAATAGATAAGTGTGGCACTTACAAACTTCCTTGTAACTGTGGTCTAACTTATATTGACCAAACATGTAAAAATTGTAGAAATATAGGTTTAAAGAACATAAGGAAAGTTACAGAAAAATGAAAGATAGATAAATCAACTTTAGCTGAACATAAAACTAAGAATCCTTGTTCCCATAGCGTTGATTGGAATAATATGAAATTGATTAAATATAAATTACAAATATGAAATGAATATAAATAGAATTACTAAAAATATTTAAGAATTTGAATTTAACCTTAAATATAGATGTGGGTCCAAAAAATTGTAGAAATTCATTTCTGGGAATCTTTTTTTTAAGACAGATGAAAGGTGACAGTACCATGTATGTCAAATACCTGGTCAATGATGTTTTCCTTCATGATGATGGTGAGTCTGTGATCCACCGAAACATGTAGATATTTTCAGTAAGGCCTGTCACCTTTAGCAGCTTACAAAGTATTATGTACTTTTAATCGTTGTTCAAACATTTTTGTTTTTACTAAATTATCAGGAATGTTTATCATACATAATTTCTAACAAATATTAGATCACTAATACAGGGGGGGGGGGGAGGATAGTCGAGAGTTGTTTGTAATATTATAAAAACTGTGAATTTAATCACATTCTAACCAAATGACAGTCTTATTTTGTGCAAGCACTGAACATTAACTGTATCTTAAAACGTGACACTCTAAATGAGGTAAGTATATATGATTATATCTGTTAATTCATTGTGTTTCTTTCATTACTTTAGTAAATGGTTCACATAATGTTAAATGGACTTTATTTCACAACTTATTTATCAATATGTAGATTAAACATATAAAATGTAAAAACTAAACTTTGAATATAATTTCAATACACATGTATATGTGAAAAGACAGTGATATATCGAGGTAATGCATTTAAAAAAGTGTTTATATCTTTTTTAATGCCTCAAAACAATCCTGCTATCTTTTGTAAGTGTACCTAAAGAAAACCTACTTTATACGTGGTGGTCACCATAATATGTAACTTTGTGCTTAAAGTTGAAATCCTCCTCCCTTTCCTCAATGGTAGAAACCAGTAAAAAAGTCATGTATTCCTCCCACTGACCATTTTTCAAGTCAGCTCACTAATAACTTATTTTCAGTCATGCAAACACAGAACATTGTACAAGAAGTTTACTAGACATTCTTGCACAAATATCATAATTGTTTTATAGTCAATGTATAACTATTATGTTGGTCTGATTAGAACAAGAACAAACAGTCCATATATTGATTTGAATAACTGACTTATTAGGCACTTGAACAAAATAGTTCATTTTCCTAAACAATACTGGATGCAGGCTTACCTACACAGTTTTGATACTACACAATTGATATGTTTCTCTGATACTGGACTTTCACTTGATTTGCTGAAGAGACAGTAAGATTCTCATACTTTACAGAGTGTGCTATATACCTAATATTTAATCAAAACTGATTCCAAAACCTAAAGCTGAGAAAACTGATTATATAAGATTTTACCAAATGATGCTAATGCATACAGTTTATATCCATTTTATTTACCAAACTATGTTAACATATACAGTGCCCTTTCTTCCAAAATCATTTACAAAATGGGTAATTTCAACAAGCAGTAATATAATTCAGATACATGTAAAAACAAACCAATGTTCACAACACTGCCATGTGCCTAAATTTCAACCAACCCAGTGAAATTACAAATAAATAAGTACAACAACAATTTACATTAATGGTAGTGTACATTCTTTCTCTCCCAACCAAAATGGTGAGGTTTTCTTTGCTTCCAAGTAGATTAGTAGATCTTCAAAGCACTTGCTCTTAACCTCCAGGTAGGGCTAAAGTGACTCTAGGGGTTGTTGAGCAACAAGCCCTGTCTTTACCGGGTTCACTTGGAATGTAAGCTCTTTCACCATTTCACTGGCCTCCAGAGTTTCTGCTCAAAGTGTATACCACAGGACCATAGTACCTTTAAGTCCAATTCATATGGATCATCTTTGGCATTTTCTAGTATCCACCCTTTATCCAGTACGTGGCATTTGAAAACTTCTTTGTGATTTCATAAAGACCTTCCCAGTTGCTCTGCAGCTTCGGAGATTTCCCTTTCTTCCCACAAGGTTATGTAAAAGACAAAGTCTCCAGTATTAAAGTAATATGAATGCAACTTGACATCATAGTGTCACTTCATTGTCTGTAAAGTTAACCCTCTTGCTATGGACAGGTCAAAGAGTGCATGTCATAACAATTTCAAGTTATTTTCAAGATTTAATTAAACAAATTTATTATCAATGTATGTCATTAATATTGGCATCAAATATAGTTTATAATTCAAATTTTAATATTATATTTGTTTTTAATATCTTAATTTGAAAGAAAATATTTCAAAAAATGTTAAATATCATTTAGTGTGTCGTATAGTATGTCTTATTGCATAGTTTATATTTTAATACACCTACCATACAATGTTTACAGTGGTTAACAAAAGAGAAACTCGAATTTTAAACACTGACAAGCTAAAATATAAAATAAGAACCTTCCACCTTTTTATTTGCTAAAATACCTATATATTTGGCAAATCTACCAGAGTAGCTCCTCCTACTATATTCTTTTGAAAACTCTTCTCTACTCACACCTACTTCTCTTAAGTACATGTTTATAACTAATAGAAAAAGCACATTCCAATCTACATAAATCAGACAATTGTTTGTAATTGGCTTGAATGGAAAAGCCGTATGCAAATGTTAAAGTCTACTGACTCTGAAGAGAAATGAGATTTTTTTAACCAACATATAGCTTAGTTAGAAAGCCAGATAAATTATAGTGATTTTATGTGTACCAGTATAGTAATTTGAAAATTTTTTGGTTTTCTAAAATGCATCCTTGAAATCTAAAAAAAAAAACATTGTCTTCCCCCTCCACTTGAGAGAATAAATGAGGCTAGCGGGAGACTTAGCAAGTACGAGGAATGAGTACAAATCAAAGTTGTAACATCTTAAGTACTAGAAGTTATTGTTTTTCTATATATTTTTTACCTGTTGTTCTGTGTTTTAAGGAAGATAACTAAAAATTAAGCATTTATGAGTACATAGTAATAATATATATATATACATGTTCATAAGCACTTACAAACCTATACTGCTAACTTCCGACCATCCCAGGAGGATAACTAACGTCCAAATACGTACCAAGTTTATTGTTTGGCTATATTTGCAAATTCTGGAACATACCCTCAGTGGTAAGTAAACAGGTCAAGAAAACTTTTTAGTTGACTCACATTGTCATGTCATGAGCAGTTATAAATTGAGGCTATTTTTTCATGATCTGTTTGCACACCATCTTCACTAACTACATATGTCCTAAGTATTTTGCCTCCTTCTTAAATAACAGGCACTTTTGGGGATTTATTTTGAGGTGAGCTTTGTGTAACAAATGGAACACGGTTAGGATTTCATAGGTCCAAGATTCTTCACAGTAGATGTTTGTGACTTGTTGGCAATAAATTTCAACAATAAATGGACATCACACAATTCAGTTGTTTTAAAATGATGTATTTAAAACAAGTCAAACATATGTACAAAAATTTCTTACACTATTCGTTGTCACAGTTGTATCCAGAGCTTTAATTAATTTTATATTTTTCATCAAAGTCCACCCAGTTGAGTTCAATTACTTTAGAATACATTTAGCAAAATAAGTTATTCTCCTCTACTCTGTTATCCAAATACAATCAGTGATAAATTTCTTTAAATTACCCCGTGGATTACCATAGTTGTATCCAAAGCTTTAAATAATTCTCTTTTACGTCAAAACTCCACACAGGTTGGTTCAGTTACTTTAGAACCCAATTGAAAAGATGAATTATTCTTCTCTACTCTGTTATAATAGTACAATCTGCAATTATTACACTTCAAAAAGTTGCCACTATACACACTTTTTGGCTAAATTCACAATCACCCAGTCTAACTTCCCTTTTTTTACTTTCACTTTCACTAACTTAATGTACTTGCCCTAACTAGGTCACCTATATATATATATATATATATATTGCCTGACAGAGGTCAACAACTTTCTACAAAATAAGAGATGTTATGATGTAACAATACTCACTTAAAGCAATGAGAATAATTCAGAAGGTTCGAGTAACATGACGTCAATTCACAACAATTGAACTACACAACAAATAATTTGTAAACAGTTACATAATTAACCTTGCCATAACTATGGCTTCTAAAAATAACTTACTTTTAATGTTTACACTATATAAACGAAATAATACTATTGTATTAAATTTAAAATGAACAATCATGTATAACTAACGATAAGCACCTATTCAAGAGAACTTTTTACAATATTTTTTTACATTATATACAAAAAACTGTTCATGTACAAAGTTTATTCATACAGTCTTCACCATCACTTGCAACCTCCTTTTTGGCCTCAAAGTGGAACCAATAGTTTTAGAGATACATCACCCACCTAATGATCCTCACACTAGCAATTTTGCATCTCTCAATGTATGCAAAAGGCTGATGGTCCTTCTGGATGATGAAATCCTTCCTGTAGAGGTAGTTCTGGAACTTCCGGATGGCAACTGTGATGGCCAGACACTCACTCTCATTCAATCACAGAGTAGTTCTTCTCCCTACTCAACAGTTTTTTATTTATGTACATTACTGGAAACAGTCTGTCTTCATGTTCTTATGTACTTGTAGGAGTACTGCTCCAATTCCAATGCCTGAAGCATCGGGCTGAACAATGAATGGTTTGTTGAAGTCTGCCATTCTAAGGATTGGCAAACTTCCTAACATATTATCTAACTTCTGGAATGCCATCTGCTGTGGTTGTTCTCAAACTGTGCTTCCTTCAGTTCCCATACACCTACATTGAGAATGCCACCTTTCAAGACTTGCAGGGGCTTGATGTCCTGCTTACATTTATTTTCTTGAGCTCTAGTGGTGACTGCAGTTGCTTCATCAGTCTTCTTTCTGTCTGGTTACTCCAAACTTCTACTGTCTTGTATATTTTCAATCATCAAGCCATAGATGAGTGCCTTCATACACATGGCCTCCAGGTCTCCCATGTAATATGGAGTTTCCACCTTTATTCTTACTATGGGAAACTTTCTCACTGTTTCATCAATTAGCACACACACACAGATGTACCTTGCCCATCATCTGATCATCAGATACTAGACTGGTTCTCACAGCTGCACTTAGTGTCTTCACTTTCTTGTTCCCAACATAGCCTTCAACTACTGGCATGTAGTGATTTGTTGGCACCTCTCTATGTTTGTTGCATATTCCAATCACCACTGAACTGTTGACCCATTTCCTAACTTGAGCTGACCTTCAGTCATGCACTGTTTAATCATGGAGACATCACTTCCTTTTGGTGATGAATCTAATATGGTGTTTGTATTCTGTTTGTTCTGGTAGCACCATCCAGCTGCTTTATGTTTAAATTTCTGTTGTTGCTTGTTGCTAACAGAATTGCATTCATTTGCAATGTGCCCTATTTTATATCAAGCATAACATTTCTTATCCCTTTTGTCTGTTAAATTCTTGTCTGCTTTAGTGGCATCCATGGTGATAGTCACTTTTTTCTTCTTTCTTTCCAGCTGCTTTATGTTTAAATTTTTGCTGTTGCTTGTTTCAATCATTTGCGATGTGCTCTATTTTATGACAAGCATAGCATCTCTTCTCTTTTTTGTCTGTTAAGTTCTTGTCAGCTTTAGGGGCATCCTGCCTCTGCTCAGCCACCCCTGGTTTTGACTTTAACAGATTATTCTTGTACTTGCTAGTTATACTCCTTCCATGGGCTTTCATATACTGTTCTGCCAGCTTGATCATCATGTCCACATTTTTTGGTTCTCTCTCCTTTATGAACAGGGATATGTCAGTTGAGCACATGATCATGAATTATTCATGTATTAATAGACCTGTCAGTTTTTCAAAACTATTTTCACACTTGGCTATGTCACTCTTATCTAGTGAAGTATCGTTGTAGACATGCCACAAACTGAAATACATTTTCTCTAGTTTCAAGTTTGACCTCTCTGAATTTCTGTCAAAAACCTTTCTCAGTATGTTTATAGCATTTCAGCAATGCCACTTTTAACTTTTCATAGTTTATGGCATCTTCTGACTTCATGCCTGCATAATTTGTAAGCCTTTTCCTTTGAGAAATGGGCTGATACAGACTTCCAAGTTGCCTTTGTCATATTTCTGACTTTGAGCAAACTTTTCATACCTCTTGTTTCCAACAGTTTTACCATTCTCACCATTTAATATATAAAAAAAAGATGATGCATCAACACTGTCAGTTCTCTTAACAATCTTAAACACTTCAGTCATATTCTCTCTACCTCTTTAAATTCAGAGATCTTAACTTATCCTCATATGACTACCTTTCCATCCCAGGTATCATTCTAGTAGTCTTTCTTTGAACCCTTTTCAACAATTCAATGTCTTTTCTGGGGTAAGGAGCTCAAGACTGAGAACAGTACTCCAAATGAAGCCTAACCAAATGGTCTATATAATGATATTTTAAACTTGCATTCAGTACTTCTGAAGACATAACCTACAATCATGTTTCACCTACCACTAACAACAGCATGACATAATTGTAAGATGTATTTTTTGTTACGTTATTTATATATATATATATTTATAATTGTAATTTCATTTACTTTCTTATCTATCGCAGTCTTGTATTTAATTCAGTAGTAATATCAGTTTGTTAAAATGTATAATTTATTAGTAATAATATAAATAATTATAGCAGTTTAGGACATTTGTTAAAACCTAAGTGGCAGCATAATGTCTGGTTACAAATACAAGGTTAAGCCTTAAAGTGAAATATGAATCTTCGTATCTGCCAGTAATGCCATGTAACAAATCTAGGAAGTAAAGAATGAAAGAACCCCTGAGTATCACTTAGTTTTTTAATATTTGACTTGTAGATTTTTAATGTTTAATAAATTAAGCAAAATCCTGAACATTCAAAATTTACTAACATTTAAACTCTAAACTATTAACACTCCTATCATAAACATGTAAAATAATATTGAAGTATCTGGAATAATAAGTCTGGAAAATGATGATAGTACAGACTTCTTTTCACTAAAGTAAAAATGTACAATATAATATGTGATGTAGAGGCCTATTATATTCTTTGATTCACTATACCTTCTTCCTTGGCCTGCAGTTTCACCCATTCAAGTCTCATTAGCACAGCTTGAGTCAGCAAACCAAAGAAATGCATATTTCCTCAATTCAAAAACAAAAAGAATAGAAAGGAACATTTATAGAAATCATAAGAAAATGTTAAACCTATATTTTTACTCTATTGTGTGGTAGTCTTATTCCTGTTCGGAGGAAAATGCTTAAAAATCAAGAAATGGATAATGTATTCTTAAGGAGTGATAGGTTCTTAGCAAAAATACATCGACAAGTGAGTTGTTTTGTTTACACACAAAACTCTTTGCAGCTGTAGAGAAACAAAAATATTAATTTTTTTAGACATTTTGCTTCATGAATTACACTACATATATTGATTCTAAAATATGTTTGAGTTAAAACTGTTGAAATGTGCCATTGCATTTAATCTATTATTTAGTATTATACAATGGATCAAATGTTTGATAATGATCTTACAGATTTATTTTCTTTAGTTTACTATAAAGAGCTTAAAAACTTCATAAATATTTTACACACAGCACCATTATAAGAAGCCTTACTGAATATTGTTGCGTCATCGAGGTCACGTGACTGGTGTGGCGCCACCTA